ACATTTCCAATTCTATGGGGAATTGTTCTCATTTTATAAATGAGAAAAACTAAAGCTTGAAGAGGTTGGTTAATGTGCCCAATGTCATATAACTAGGAAGTGCTGGAGCAGAATTCCAAAGCAGACAGTTTAATCTGCACAGCATGCATTCTTAGCCTCTAAGTTATGCGGCTCTGATAAAAGTATTGCTAGAGGAAATGAAAAATGATGAGTAATAACTGATATTTTATATCCATTCTTCATTAGCAGGAATAATATAACTTTGGTTTTGTCACCACTTAATAAGGTTGAGCTTGCAAAGCAACCCCAGCCCACTCCAAATGGTCGTTTGTTACAACACTGCATTTTCAGATCATTTAGGGCAGGTCTGCCGTGGTAGCTGCACATTTAGAAGCATGGAGCTAATGCTACGGAGAATCCTGGGTTTGTGGGGCCTGAAGCTTTTTACCATTTAGGATCCCCTTTAAGAAAAAATTATTAAATTACAGATGCAAAATTAGGCAGTGGGCTTTGGACTATCCAGCAAGCTAGGGGCCGGGATGCTCAAGCCTCATTGGCTCCACAGGAAATCTGCCTCCAGCCTGATGCTTCCTCTCTTTGCACAGCTTGGTGACAGCACCAAGGACGCTACGCAGGTCCTGGAATCATGAAATCATGAACTGTTTCATTTAGAAGGAACCCTGGAGATGGCATTCATCACCAATTTTCTTTCTCTGTTTTAACAGCAAACAAACAAAAGGAAATCTTACTCCGAATCTGAATGTGTTAAGTTAAACAGATATATGTGGGGCTGGCTCTGGTTGGAGGCTGGACCGTAGGTCTAGAGCCCCACCTGCTCTTGCCCATTGCAGCTCCAGAGGCATCTCGGGGCACGCTGGGGCTTTGAGGAACCTGTCTGAAAGCCACCAGATCTATCCTAAGCCACACTTCTCATGGAGGAGAGAACAGAGACTCAGAAAGGTTAAATAGCTCAGCTGGGGTCACCACCTAGTTATGGGCAGGGTGGAGCCTGCACTGTTACCTATCCACAGGTCTTCTCACTATACTATAATCTCTGATTTCTAGGGCAGCCTTCAAAAGTCTTTTATCAAGCTCTCACCATATTCTAAATGTATCTGTAGTATAATAGAATCGAACCACAAGGTATTACCCATTTCTATGGGAAATGTAAAAAAATCTCTCTCCTCCTGCAGACCTGGCAGAGAAGGGGTGTGTGCTCCCTCAGCTTAGGTCACTGGAGGTCATTCCCTGAACTGCTGGGCTACACACTAGCCATGTCCCCCATCCACCTGGGGGATGGAAAAGGCAAAGCCTGAAACCACTGGGCAGCATTTGTACTCTTGAAGGGAAAAGAGCAAAATTCCTTGGGGTCATGAAATAAAATTTAAAAGTTATGTATAGAGAAAAGCTACCTTATTGTATAAAAAAAGAGAAAACAGATTTAAAGAAATACTACATGTAGGTACATTGTTATTTTCTATCTTTGATTTTTATTGCTGACTTAAATATGTGCTGCAAACTTAATCCTCCCCACTTGCTGGAATTTCAAGTCTTTTTCTGACTAGGCTTCTGGTCTTGGCAGAACTTTGCCTTAAGAAACTTCTCCAGAGAGAGACTTTAATTCGCTGCTCATTTTCATTTGGTATCACTTTCCTTTTTGCCCACCTAAATCTTGTAATAAATTTTCCCATCGTGTCATCTGCTTTTTCTTTCACGGTTTTTCTTGATTTGAACAATTCTCAAGTTGTTTATGGGCAAAATTACCTGATTTAGGTCTTGTAATTAAAAGGAAGTTCTATCAGTCTCTTGCTTTCCTTAATTATAAAATTTCACTTAAAAATCTCAAGCTGGTAAGAAGTCTTAATGTTATTCAGTAACTAAAATTGCAAATCTCTAAAGCTTTCTTTAAAACAAATGTAAACCTACAATGCAATCTTAATGTCACAGAATAGCTTTCCACAGAATAGTCACATGATGACTGCAGTTGACAACAAATGGTAACTGGAAACATTTTGGTTCTCCTATTTGAGAAACAGGCATTGACTGGCTGTTAACTTTTAGAAGAAGTGATTAAATCCCCCAGGTTTTGTACTATTAGGTTGCAAAACAACAGATAGTTACATCTAAAGTAATATAGAAACAACAAAAAGTCAAAACTATTATTTTTATAACATTAAAAACATGATTCTCATACAAATATACAATGTGTCAAAGATTTATGTAACTCACTAATTAGAAAACAGGATACTAAAAATACTGGATCTTGAGATCGAGCAGACTGAAATGATATTCCCATAAAAATATACATACTATTTCAGTGAAAGGAAGACTACTGGAATAAGATGGCAAAGTTAGATTAATACCAGGTAATATTCTATAGGGCAATAAAACTAATCTTTGGCGTTGTCTCTGTGATTAGACAGAAATCACCTGTAATTTACTGATATTCTACACATTATCCACCTTTCCAGAGTCTGGGCCTTGATTAATACAATAGTATATCAAAGAAAGTTACAGCCCCCCCAGAAAGACAAATAGCCCCAGTTTTGCAGACAATGCTCTACTATCTATTTTTTTGTTTTCACAAACAAACCTGAAATGAATATTTATTGCAACATAGATTTTGAATGGGACAAATATTTTTGTCCTATTTCTAGGTTTTGGATAATTTTAACAGTATTATAAGTTGTTTTTTTTTTTTTGGTGTTATTTTTTTTCTTTTTAATCTGTAAACTATAAGAAGCCTGTAACTTGGGAACCAAACAATGCAAGGAATATCTGATCCATCTGAGGAATCAAAATCACCTACAGAGTTTTACCATGCAGGCACCTTCACGTATACAATCTTACTTGATTCTGACTCAACCTCATTGAGATTTTCAGGTACTGCCCCTATTTTCATAAATAAGAAAATGGAGGTTCCTAAAGATCGTGACTTATCCACATTCCTGGTCAGAACCAGGGCCAAGCTGCAAAGCCAGATCCTCCCGCAAACAAACCCCAGGTGTTTTTCATTGAGATGCTTCTCTCAACAACCCCTCACATTGTAAAGAATCTTGTGGTTTTAAAAAACCCTTTGTAAATTGAGGGAACATGAGGCAGGTGGCTGTGTTTCATATATTGGGATGCTGAGGACCAAGATCACCTGTCTGCAAGTAGCAGAATTGCAAGTAGCAGTAGAAGTGTCCAAGTTCTTCCCCAAACAAGTCCGAGGCCATTTTGTCTATAAAACAACCACTTGGAGTTAGCCCGCTCTGTCTCCTGGCACCGACCCAACTTCTATCTCTGGATGCCAAGACCACTACACAACTTGAAGCCCCCACTTCTCTGCTGTACCTATGCCTGTCAGGGCAGATAAGTGAGCTCAATTCATTCTTCTCCTGCCCCAGGGGAAAAAAACCCTCCTTTGCTAACCTGTCTAGCTCTCTGCCACCTAACCTAAGCAAGTCGACAGACTTCTCAGGAAGGTGTTAATGACAGGCAACAGCTAAAGGTGCTATTCCTACCAGGGTTATTTACATTTTAGAAGGTGCTCATTTTGGCTCAAGTGCTTTCACCTTTTGCTTCCTAACTAACCTGTGGGCAGAAGTGATTGCCAGTGCAGCAAACCCAATCTTAGCCCAGGCTAAAATATCTATAGCTGCCGAGGGAATGAAGGCTCATGTTTGACTACTTTTCAAATGTACATAGCTGATGTTTAAAATTTTAAATGATATATTTAAAAGTGGTAATTAATTTATGGAAGTTTCTATGTGACTTCTTGGTCCATAAATGTTTAAAAGTACAACTGTAACTTTGTGTGTAGGGGCATGGGTGGATGGAATCTTCCATGGGAAAAATCTCAACGACGGGAATTTAATCCTCACAGAGACCCAGTGAAGTGTGAGTACCTTCATTTTATAAATGAAGAAACTAAAGCGGAGAGGTTATGTAACTTACCCAAGCCAAGATCATCCAGCTTCAGAGCCAGGCTTCGAATCACAATGTGGTTCCAGGTCTGTGCTTCTAGCCACTATCTTGCATTGTTTCTGATCTTCATTTTCCAAAGGGGTGTGATTTGGTTGCAAATATGTAGCAGAAGACACCTCATACTAACCCTGCTCACCTCCAGGGAGGGCCCAGCAGTAAAGAAAACTTTTAAGTGGGGGCAAAGCTACTATAGAAAAGCAACCCAGGTTTCTGTGGAGACTGGGAAGCATTTAAGATAGGGAAAGAACTGTATTTTATCAACTGTGATACACTGGACTCTAAGACCTACCGTTATTTTATCTATCACTAAGAAAAAAAACCTGCCTATTAAACAGTGGTCATGCTAATATGCCATCAACTATAAGCTACAAAGTGAAAGATTTATTAAAATGTGAAAAAAAATGCACATTTTTCAAATTGATGAAATATAATAACATCTAGGCAGGCAGCTCCAGGCTATGGTCTGCAGAGTGTGAGATCCCAGGGAAAGGGAGAGCATCTTTCACGATTTTTCTCACAGAAGCCCTAGAACTCTAAGTGCTATAGTTTTGGTCTTATGCCAGATCATGATTCGATGCTACTTATTAATAGAGTACAGACACTTTCTGACGTACAGTGGTTCGACTCAGGATTTTTCGACGCTGCGAAAGTTGAAATGACAATGCAAAAGCAATACACATTCAGCACGCTCCTCAACTTACCGTGAGGCTACGATCCAATCGTGTAGCCCCAGGGGAAGCTGAGGAGCATCAGTACTTCATCTATTAACTAGTCACCACGGCCAAAGGAATGGAGTATTGTGATTTGGGGGATTGATTTGTGCACCCCTGGTTCAGGCAGATCAGGAGGATTCCACCCACTCTAATGAGATGACAGTGAACTGTGGAAGGTGGGGGCAGAGAGGTGCCAGCCAGACCAAAAGCGTGTGTCTACCAGGTTATTATTATCAACAGATTTAGAACTAGACTTAACATATTGAACAATATAAATGGGGTCAAATAGTCGATATAGTAAGAGAAAACAAAACTCACATCTCGTTTGTTTCCTGAAAAGCGCTTTCCTGCTGGTACACAAGGCTTTTTAAGATCCACGCTTCTATCACTGCCTACTGCTCGATGTAGTAACGCCAAGTCAGGACGTCTTTACTGGTAGGTAAATCAATAAGAACAAGTTTAAAATGCAAGAGGATTTCTATCTAAAAGGAAAGTCTGTTTGTAAGCATCTGGAAGTCATTTAAAATATCTAAATTAGTCATTATGCTTAATTATAGTTATCAAGGGCTCAAAGTCAGATGATTCTCATGACCTTCCCAGACTCTTCTCACCTTCCCCTCATGTAGTCATTACATATCAAGCACAACTAAGAGCTCATCATTTCCTCCCAAGATACAATTAACTCTCTAAGTACAAGAGAGCACGGAGCAAAAACTTCTCATTCCCACGTTTTTGCCGCTCTATTTGTCCACTTACATTCAGCAATGGGCATGAGTCCATGTTTAAAAACTGGATAAAACATTTTGATGCAAGATTCCAAACACCATCCATTATAGGGATGGGAGTAAAAGCATCTACAGTTATCTTCCAAGGCACTGTTTTGAGTAGAAACACATACACAGCAATCAGTGTCTGCACATTCTGGAATGCACGGCAGTCATTTAGTTACTATTCATAAAAGATGCACAATTCAAAGAGCATATTGTATCTCCTGGCAAAGGCTGTTCATTTGAAAAATCTTAATAATTCACCTGGGAAAAAGGGGATTTAGGGCATTTTGGCAGTGGTGTTTTCAAATTTAGAAAAGAAACTAAGTTAACCTTAGTTAAAACTAAGTTTAGCCTAAACTTAGTTTCCTTAGGTTAAGCAATATTAGAGGTGAGAAAAGAGCTCAAGTGGCAAAGTTTTGTTTCTTTGTTTAGTTCATTAGTTTTGGGCTAGAAATATACACTTTGATTACTGACTCTAACTGCTGCTGAGACCTTGTGTTTTCTTATGTGTATTCTAAATATACACATCCTAATCTTTCCAAGACTTACTCTTAAAGGTGATTAATCTGCTATAATTAAGATGTAACCTTTTCAAAATCTCACTGAAAATAGAAACAGAAGTGCCATCTCATATTTTAAAGAGCCAGTCCTTTGCGTTCAGTCATACAGGAAGCCACTGCCTCTAAAAGGTCCTTATTCCATTATGCAAATGCTTATTAAACCAGACTAAAAAGGAAAATGACGTTCTCCTTCCTTCTGATTCCTGGGAAAAGCATGGGGTTGATGCAAACTGAAAACTACAATAAGGTGAATTTTCAAAGTTAGGACTTTCTTAAATCCAGTAAGCTCTTCCAGGGAAAATAAACCCTCCACAAAGCCAAATAGGTTATTTTTACTTTGTTTAAAGCCATTTGTGGGTTTCTGCTTAAAAAATGGTACACTGTTGAGTTTATCTCCATTCCTTCCAGAAAAAGGAATATGAAACTAAAAGAATAAGAATGATGTAAACTCACAGGAACAATGTAAACAAAAGAGAAGCTATCAGTGGGTAATGATAGCAACAAATATCTGGAAGAAAAGGAAGCTGTGGAGAGAGCAGCAAGATGGAGAAAGCTAAATACCTAGTGCATGCAGAGAAGCAAGTGAATTCTCACCATGATATATCAGAAAGTCCCTGCAACTAGAAGTGGAAGACTGGAGTAAGCCCTGGGATGGGAAACAGGAGATTGGCCCAAACTGCTTGATTATACTACTCCCCACCCCAGCAGGAGGCTGAAGATATTCTGTGGACTTATGCTCTTTCAATTTTTCAAGATTAGGGAGCCCCAGATATGAGAGAGCACGAGGGAGAGGCACTGTACTGAAAGCAGGTGGGTTAATTAAAATATGCACACTGTGTGTTGAGTAACCAAACACCGGCTGCAGGTGGATTTCTTTCCGGAGGCACTGAATGGCCCTAGATGAAAGGCCTACAGATACTGACATCTGGAGAACCCCAAGAAACAGCAGGATCCAAGCCTAATGGCCCATGCATTAAACAGAATCAACAGGAGAGAACAGGAAAAGACTGCCACCTTTATCATTGGTTTTAAGTGTCTTAAATATACAGGAGAACCAGACCTCGCCAGGAGACCTCAAACATAGAGACCAGAAAAGACAGAAAGAGCAAAGAAGAAACAAAGTAAAACAAAACGAATAACCAAGGATAAAATACAACATCCCCAGAGACATAAGAGATATTGCATCTAAGAGATAAGAAATGGTGTTGAGAGTAGAATAAAGACATTCAGACATGCAAGGTCTTCACAATTTTAGCTCACGTGCACTCTTTCCAAGGAAGCTGCTAAAGGTTGTGCCCCACTGGGAAAAGGGCCTTTAAGAAAGAAAAGCGCGAGGGTCTGAGAAACCGGCTCTCAACAGGAGAGAAGGGAAGGGAAGGGAAGGCTCAGGGTGACACCAATGACCTGAGCAGTTATTCAGGGCATCCAGGAAGCCAGGAGGGGCGTCTCCAGGAAAACGTGGGAACACTAGTTGACTTGACAACTTAGTATTCAGAGACAGGTTAGCACACTTTTAGCTACAAGTTTCTAAAGATCCCATTCAAAATGATCTAAATAAAAAATGGCGGTTTATTATCTCACATAATCAAAAGCTCCAGGAGTTAATTTCCATTGCTGATGTAAGGACTGGGGCCCCAGCGCTAGTCCGTACCAGTGCTCTTTTGCGAGACACACGCAGGATATGCGTATCTGGGACCCACTCAAGACACACTGGCTGGGAAAGAGTGACTTATGGCTGGGCAAGGTGGCTCACGCCTGTGATCCTAGCACTATGGGAGGCCGAGGCGGGCGGATTGCTCGAGGTCAGGAGTTCGAAACCACCCTGAGCAAGAGCGAGACCCTGTCTCTACTATAAATAGAAAGAAATTAATTGGCTAATTAATATATATAGAAAAAATTAGCCGGGCATGGTGCGCATGCCTGTAGTCCCAGCTACTCAGGAGGCTGAGGCAGCAGGATTGCTTGAGCCCAGGAGTTTGAGGTTGCTGTGAGCTAGGCTGACGCCATGGCACTCACTCTAGCCTGGGCAACAAAGCGAGACTCTGTCTCAAAAAAAAAAAAAAAAAAAAAAAAAAAAAAAGAGGGACTTATACCAGTCAGGATATCTGAGCTGCCTGGGAAGGAGGAGACACCAGAATAACACAGGAGCCTCAGCAGACTGAAGAGGAAAATGGCTGTTGGGTAGTCACTCATGGTGCCTGTGAGAGAAGAGTTTAAGCAATTCTGATAAAAGTTTAGGAAAAATTAACAACAGAAATGTAGAAATTAAGCAAATGAAAATAAAGAAATGGCTAGTTCCAGAAAAAATAAAATGATACAATTCCACTGGGAAGAGAAAGGGAACAGTGATGATAGAAGTTCTTAATCTGTACTTTCTGTAATAGGAAGTCAAAAGAAACTACCTAAAACTGGTAGATTTAAAAAATAGACATTATAAAAACAGTATATTTAGAAATTTAGCAGAGCTCAGAGTAAATGGAAGTAGTTGTGGGGAGGCGAGGCAGGGGTGCAGGAGTGGGGCAGAGAAAGGACTGCTGCTTCTGTTACAAGCTTTATACAAGTCCCCCTCCAAATTCTGTACGTGTTATTTTATTGTTTTAGTTTCAAAGATGGAACAAATAGCAGCTCCCTGCTCCCCTGAATGGACCCTTTATATGGAGAACACAAACCACAATTATCAGTCAAACAAAAGTAAGCATTAGCGTTGCCTTTTCCCCATTCCCCCTTCTCACCCCATCCCAGGTCTCCCAGCTGTCCCACCCACACCCTACACTCAGTTGGGTGACAGTTGGGAGGAGAATCCATGCTGAGTTAATTATAGGCATCAGTTCTTTGGGGAAGGGTTCAATACACCATGGCAGGGGGAGTCTCTGTAGCTGGCAGGTTGGAGTTGTCCAAGGACTCCATGCTCTGGACAGGAAAGGCACAGCCAATTTTTCAGCGGGTGTAACTGCAGTGACAGACCTAAGTGGGTGTCCTGTTACATCAGACTATTCAGAGAAAGGGCCAAGGCTCTATATTGAAAGCAGCCAGATATTCATAAGCATGGCTATATGAGCCTGACTGAGCTACCAATCCTCCTAAGCTTTGCTGCTAAAAGCCAACCATAGATTTAAAATTCACACATACTACCTGTGATAAAATTCAAACTTCTGCCCTGTAACAGATTTGCATTTTCTTCCATCTTATGCAAATCCTACAGGCTTTGACTATTTTAGGGACAGTCTCGAGAAGGAAAGTCTCATCACAAGGAGCTATTTACTTGGAAGGTCCAAAAAACAGAGACAGACCTTGACCTTCACACTACAATCCACTGCGATCCCCTAATTCATTTAGCACATTTCCCTCAGGAGCTTCCCTTACCCGAGTGGCTTTCAAACAAAGTCTAACACGAGACCTAATCCATGAGACAGCCAGGAATGCGGCTGCTCTGGTTACAGGGTATCCCCCTCCCTGTACCCATCAAAGCCTTACGGCTCCCTGAAGTTCAGTTCAAAACCATTACTTTCTAACTAGTTGCTCCCACCAAAGACTCCCCTTGGCTCTTCTTTTCCACATCCTACCTTCCTTTGGCAGGATAGTCCTCTCGGGTCCCACCTCCTCCAGGAAGCCTTCCCAGACTGCTGCTCACTGAAGCTGTATTCTTCCCGAATCAACTAATTCAGCTTCACTTTACATATATTGGTCCCACCATATATGATTGCTAAACCTTCCACATTACTGCTTCACACTCTAATTTACTTACTACTTAATATAGCTTGGATTTAAAAAAAAAAAAGAAAAAGACAATTTTTAGAAACAATTTTATAAATAGATACTTATAAAAGAAGAAACACATATACAGAGCACCCAAATTACTAGTCAGGTGAACCCCAGCCCTTCTCTTCTGCATTGGGAAAACAGAATAGACAACAGAGAACGGGAAAAAGCATTCCATCTTGCGCTTAACTCTTGCCACCTATGTGCTCAGCTTTTCAAGTAGAGTTTCTACTCCTTTGCTGGTGTTTTTGTTTTTTTCCAATGTGGGAATCAGGCTTTTTAGTCCAGCTTTGACTTTGTTTGCAACTTCTTGGTCAGAACTCTGGAGAAGGCTGAAGAGAGAGGAAAAAAATTAACAAAACTTAAATTTCATAAAAACCCCTAGATCATCTGCAAATACTACCCATACTCACAGTATAACAGAATTAACCGTGACACAAATCTTATAACTATATACATAATTTTTTTTCATTCACCATATGATGAGGGCCAGTAGCCCACATTCTAAAACCATAGGAAAAATGTTTTAGAATCTTACTAGTGGAGCCATTCAAGCAAAGACATTTGTAGGACTCCATTCCACATAGAGTTGGTCCTATCTTCACTTTATCTTAGGACTTACTTACATCCTACCTTAAAAATTTTTCGTGTAGTCTATCTCCCTTCCTCATCTAGATTATAAGCTCACAAGAACAGTTTGTGTGGTTTTTGTTTTTTTGTTTTTTTTTTTTTTGAGACAGAGTCTTACTCTGTTGCCTGCTGGGCTAGAGTGCTATGGCGTCAGCCTAGCTCACAGCAACCTCAAACTCCTGGGCTCAACTGATCCTTCTGCCTCAGCCTCCCAAGTAGCTGGGACTACAGGCATGCGTCACCATGCCTGACTAATTTTTTTTTTCTATATATTTTTAGTTGGCTAATTAATTTCTTTCTATTTTTAGTAGAGACGGGGTCTCGCTCTTGCTCAGGCTGGTTTCGAACTCCTAACCTTGAGCAATCTGCCCACCTCAGTCTCCCAGAGTGCTAGGATTACAGGCATGTTTTATTTCATGGCACCACTTGTATAGAGTAGATGGCCAAGAAATGTTCCCTGAGTGGCTGAAATAACACGTGTGAATGGGAACACAGAGAGGTAAGGTGGGGGCACGAGAGGCTGGAGTCAGTGGGCCTTCTCCTGGAACTCCGCAGCACTGACACTTTGTGAACAGGTGGAGAGGTTTCCCGCGGAGCTTCACCACCTCTGCCATTCAGTAACTGTACAACCAAGACCATGCTATTTGAATGCTCTAAGACTCAGTTTCCTGATCTGTAGAATGGGATTAAAAATAAAACCCACTTTCTGCCTCACAGGGCTGTTTGTTGAGGCTTAAATTATCCTGTATCCAAAGCACTTAGCCAGAGCCTGATACTTAGTAAGCACTCAATAAATGTTAGTCAGTGAACAAAATAACCCTGGGCTCTGCTTTCAGAAACCTTGCCGTAGCACTCTACCACCACAAGTGAAGGGTAACAGTAGGCCCATTTCTCTATAAACAGGGGCTGGGTGATTGGCACCCAACCACAGAGAACCAGGCCTGGACTTCTGTTTGCCTCTCAGTTTTTGAGGGCCACATGTAAATGCTGACCTCTGAAACACATTCTAGAAAGAAACTGCTTGGCATTTTTCAAAGTCCCCGGCCCCAGTAATTTCCATCATGTCAACAAAAAGGTGGATAAGTTATCAGCAATGAGCAGCATTCTACTGCTTGTGGGAGACAAGAAACAAGTACAGCTTGCCACCTGCAAAGTTTAAAAGGTTGAAAAGTAAAGTATCCTTTTACTAGATCTGTGACTCACTGGATGTTTTTATTTTATACACCTTGGCTAAATATAGTTACATAATGCATAACAGTAATACAAGTTAATGTTTATTGATCATATTCCAAATATTAGATGTAATGCTAGGCATTTTATATGCATTGTCCAATCTAGTTTTCATAACAACCTTAGGGTTATTATCTTGTTTTACAACCAAGAAAATTAAGGCTCAGAAAAGCTGAATAATTTTCCCAAGGCTACATAGTAAGTAAGCTGGGACTGGAACTCAGGCAGTCTATCTAAAGCCAATGTCCTTAAATGCTAGAGAATTCTGCTTCCCTGAATCATTCTTCAGTTGATTTTATAAGGCTGAGTTTCTCTTTTCACCCAAAATGTTTTTTTTACTTAGAACCGTAAGTATTCATGTGTTCCTGTTCCAATTCTAAGAATTCATAATATACCTATACTATTCTTTTTGAAATCTACCCAACAGGAACTCTGATTGATGAGCAACTTTTATAAATTAATTTCATGGCATTGCTGAAATTTCTAGTTAATTGAGTCTAATGAAAGAATGTGTCAGTAGGTGTTAACACTCAAATGCCTGATAAAGAAATTCATAACAAAAAGTTCATGTTTCAGCTAATGGATTCTGACTGTTTAACATCAACTGGAAAATTAACTAATTTTAATGACAAATGAACAAAATGATCTGTAACATCCATGTATTTGGAAATACTGATATACCTGAAGAAATGCATGCTGTTGCATGTGTGTGTTGTTTGTAAGTATATTTGTACTAGATCAAAGTAATACCGAAGAAACATTTAACATAACATTTTCAAACAATATAGATTAAATTGCACAGCATGTTGCAAATGAAATATTGTAGGAAATTCAAACTAGGCTTGGTATCTGTTTTCGCAAACCTTGCTAACACAACAGGGGGAAAATCAACAGTGATTATTTCAAAGCAACATATAAATCTTTAAAAGGAATGCTCTTAAGAAAAGTTTCATCTGGGTATAGAATATATGGAAATTTCTATGACCTGTAAATTATAAATTCAGCATAACTAAATCTATATAAGATGGTTTCATATATCATCAATTTTCTCTCATTTTAGGTTAGAAATAAACAATTACCACACAGACTTTAGTAGCAAATGTTTTTCTAATACTTTTAGCATCTTTGAAAAC